AAGAACTTAATTTTGTGATTGCCAATGAATACTTCCTGACACTCACGCTTCAACTGTTCATGAGCAAACTTAACCCCTTGACCCCCAACGTCGTATCTTACGACATGTCCATTTTACAATGCCGTAAGTCAGACATTCAGCGACTAACAAAAAATATTGGCTCTAAAACAGAAATCCAATAGTTTAATAAAGTCAAATGAAAGCAATAAAGTCTAAGAGGTAAAATATCAAATAACAGAAATGGGACAGAGCGAAGGTACTTGTGGGAAGTGCGGGAAGGAATTCAGTGGATTTGGTCTGCAGTGCAGTGCAGACCACGCATAAAAGAATTTCCCGATGGGACGCTCACGGTCGACGAAGCCCCCACCACTGCCGCCGTCACACACGACATCGATTTTGCACCTTTGTGGCGACAGCTTGCTGTGGTGGAATGGACGACCCGAATCGAGATGGAGTGGAAGCACAGAAGAGAAGCTCGAAAATATCGACAGTGCTCGTTGGAGAGACCGCAGTCGTCTCGTACGCGCTCGAGTCCGGGCTGCTGAGAGAAGTAGGACTTCGCTCGACTTGTGCGAAATTATGTATGTTTGATGTGGACTGCGACATGAGAAATGAACCTTGGTCTATTGCGACCCACTAACGTGCCTAATAGGGGTAGGTATGTAGAGGCGGACTCTGGGTGTCATACCACCAAAAAATCACACCAGTGGAAGCCGCCGCCTGCTGACAATAGGACTTCATTATCGATTTTACTGCGAAGCCCCTTGCTCCACTGGTGCGACGACCAAGAATCGCTCGTGCGACCAGTGAGAGGACTATTTTTTGTAGCAACGTACTGCAATGTACTTAAAAATGTTTATTACTTTTATTAATACTAGGATGGACATTTGTGATCTACTGTCTGGAAGCTTGGAGCACGTCTGCGAAACGTGTCATCACCAGTTTTCCAGAGCCGACAATCTTAGGGCCGTTCCGAACCGGGATCGGATCGGATGGCAGGCCGCACGGGGCAACGAGGGTTAGGCGACGCCCTGGTGAGGTGCGTTTGGTGGTTCCGAACCGGATCGCAATCTAACCAGGTCTCGCGTCATGGCTACAGTTTCCTTTGAAGTTTCCCTTGCGTCAGAGCCCCTGTTGCGAGCTTCGTTTTGCGCGTTCATTCAGCTTCTGATAAGACATTCTTCTCGTCCATGGCGGCGCCAGCAACATGGACAGTCAGTGCGGCGCTGCTGAGCCGACGCAAGCAGCCCGTGCCCGTGCCAACCTCGGAGTCGTACGATGACTGGTCGCTGACCCAGCTCAAACTCGAGTGTACGGCGCGTAAGCTTAACGTAGTGAAGAACACGAACAAGGAGGGTCGTATCGCGCTACTGAGCGCGTACGACAAGAACAAGAAGGCCATCCAGAAGAAGGAGCAGCAGCAAAGAAGTAACGTGAGGCGCGGACAAGAAGCGAAGATGCAACGAACCAAAATTTGCATGTTTCGCCTGCTCAACGTGCTGTTTTCGGAGCGCTTTTTTCACGCCTTCATGACATCTGGGGACCAGCTCAGCCGGCGCGAGCTCGACCAAGGTGGATCGACGTTTTGGGAGGATATAGCGAAAGCATTCAGTGAGGACAACGTCGACTTTGACACGCTGGTCTGCCCGGACGAGCCCATATTCGAGGGCATTCAGCCGTCGCAGACGGTAGCCCATTCGAGCTCTAAACTCCACAAAATGTGGCGCGACGTGAGCGGCAAGTTTGCTCGGGCAGAGGCGGGATCGAAGAAGTCTGGCGAGCATAGTGACGACTTCTGGGAGTACTGTGGAGGAAAAGCGGACGTCTTCTACTTGCACCATTAGTGCGAGCATCGGGGTGCTGGTCGCGAGTTCTGCTCAGCAAACATATACTCGGACGGTGAAGACGACTCGCAGAAAGAGGGCACAAGCAGAGCCAAGAAGGGCAACCGTAAGCGTCGAAACAGCTCACAGGCCGAGGTGCTGGCTGCATTAGCGGAGAGTGTCGGTGCGATCGCGTCAACAAATGAGACCAGCGAAGCTCAAGAAGCCACGTGGAAGGAACAAGCTTTGTTGCTGCATGATAAGAGGATCTCGCATCGACTTGGCATGCTGTCCGAAATTTTGGAGCGCACTAACAGCAATATTTTTGAGCTGAAGAAGCACATTCAAGAGCACGAAGATGACAGTGACGAAGACGAGTTTGGTGCCGAAGGTTTGCTGGTGCAGGAGCGTATGAAGCGCCAAAAACTAAGAGATCAAATTCTGGAACTGAAAAGCGAGGTGATCGCTAACGTGTACGACCAGCAGGTAGTTTAACGCGTACTCGGGCGCCGAAAATTGAAGTCCTGGATGTGGTCGTTGAGAACCTGGCGCAGGATACGGCCGCGAGCAGCGTTGTCAATTTCGGCGCCCGTAACGTACGTGTCTTCGATACTATTGTCCGCAGCTTGGTAGTCACATTCTCGTAGTCTGTGGTACGCACTTGACGCTCGGTCGTGCATCACCGTTGCATCAGCACCAATTAAGTTTTCGTTCGTGCAGAAGTTGTGGAGCTTCATGCACGTTTTAATCACTCTACTAACGTTTTAAAATCCACCACCAAGGGCTTCTTAAATATTTGCCACTTGTTCACGAGCAAGCCGAACGCCATCTCAATCCGAATGCGGAGCTGACTGAGATAGAAATTAAAATCAGAGTCCTGCTTTGTCCTCAACTCCACTTTATTGTACGGCACCAGTAGTGAGTCTGATAGCGGGTAAGCGTTGTCTCCAACGCAGTAGTATCCAGGAGGTAGCTCCATGATTTCATCACTTAGTGTCCACTTCCTAAATGCGATTGAATCGCCCACCTTACCCGGTGAGTCAAAGCAGTACCCGGTGAACCGACACAGCGAGTCACAAATGGCTTGAACGTTTAAGCCGTACATATGGTAATATCCCAAGAAAAAAATCAGCAACGTCGGGTACTTCTCGGCTGCTTGGTGCTCTAATCTGGCAGAGCCAACCGTCCAGACACCCCACACAGCCCGTCATGATACCATCCTTGCTGATCTTCGTAAACCCGGGCGCGAGCTCTTCGATGCGGCTGCTGGATTCGGTCGGAGAATGAATTCGTAACTCTTCACACTCACACAGCGCGTCCATTACAGCAGTGATCACATCGTAAAAGCCCGACCGAGATACGCCAGCGAGGCAGCGCGTGGTGTGAAAGCTGCCCCCTGCCAGCCAGGAAATGGTCATCTGCAGCATGTTTTCGGGCGTGATCGGGTCCGTTCCCGTGCGCCGCTCAGACTGGATCTCGTCGCGCTGCAGCCCAGGTCTCACAAACGACAGCAGCTTGTCGAAAGATGCAGCGCTCATGCGGTAGCACTGCTCGAATTGTCCCTCCAACAGAAGTGTCTGCCAGTGCAGCCCCTAGTTCAGCCGCTTGCACGGCACGCAGTCACTAGGAGTGCCCCGTATCGAGGCAATGGCTGCCACCATTACAGCCAGCTGTACTCGGCGACGTTTGCGAGCTTGGTGGGCCTTCACCATCCACCGAGGCACCTCATACTCGTCCATCCACTCTTCACCTCACGTCTTCGCGCTCGAAATGTGGAGCAACTCCCGACGATCTGTGTCGGATCGCGGTGACCCGAGTGGGCGCTCTGGATCGCACTGGATCGCGAGGTGATTGCTAAACACGCCGACAGCCCCAACCCTCCCCGTTTCGTTGACCAATAAGAGGGAGGTATTCGCTACCCGATCCGATCCGATCCCGGTTCGGAACGGGCCCTTAGTCGACACAAGTGGATGGCTCTTGATGGTGGCACTTTACAAACTGATGAGGCATCACTGGATAACGAAACACTCAACAATAATGACAGCACAGTAGGTGGCGATGGTCCCGACAGCAATATCAGCGTACCCGATGTAGACTGGAACTGGATTGACACATAATTTGCTGAGTTCGTCAATAATGATGGGTCTGAAGTTGCCGAATGGTCGGTGCAGCAACTTGACGAAATCGTGGGGCCGTCGCGAAATGAAACTGTACAGCAGTCTTGTGACGAAGCAGAGGAAGTTTCTGTTGAAGCTTCTGTGGATGATACTGTGGTCGATTCTGTGGTCGACCCTGTGAAAAATGCCGTGGAAGATACTGTGGATTGTCCCATCTGCTACGAGTCAGATAGCCAGACAGAATTATGGGTGTGCAGCAACTGTCGCCAGTCACCACCGTAGCTGTGCTGGACGGATGTTTGAGCATGATAAAAGATGTCCTACCTGTCGCACGCATATCGAGATGGAGGTTGAAGATGATGAAGTGATTATCGTGCGTCATATCCCTGCTCGGCCGACGTGTTTTATTTGCGGACATAATGACGACAACGGGGACATCATACAGGAGGGCCCTCCGTGCCCACACCAATGCGATATTCAGTGTTTACCTGTATTCAACATGGTGAACCTCAGCGAGAATCGTGCAGCACACTTCAAGTGCCCTGCATGCATGCAACCGTTTCCAGTCGACAGTATATACTTCGGTGATGACTATCTGAGTGACAACCCAAACGATTTAGCTGACGAAGAATACCAACCTAGTGCCAGTGTTTCAGCAGAGTCATCAGAGTAGGCAATATGCACGGCAAGGCATGACTACATAAAGCATATGTTTTAGGTAATTTTGAGTTTTATGCGTGTTGGTTAGCCTTGAAGCATTTATCATTATTACTTTATTGTAGTGTATTTACAATCGCACTATTGAGGACGACTACACTATTGAGGACGACTACACTATTGAGGACGACTACACTATTAAGGACGACTGCACTTTTGAGGACAACTGCACATAACCGAGCGACTGCACTTTTGAGGACGATGTTTACGCTCGCTTACGTTTTCTAATCTCTGCAAGAATTTTGGTTAACGGCTAGGTCACCATGAATGCAAAGTGCAAAGGCCGCCTCGAATTGGTCCTGGTCGCCGGCGTGCTTTTCTTGGACATATTCAGCAATGATCTTCATTCAAGAAAGACGTGATCGACGTAACTTGCGTTCATGTGGAAGCATGTCAACGCCAGCTCTGAACTGGTGGCATGCCGCATTAGCATGCCAGTACTGGTTAGCATAGTCTCGCCACCCTTTAGCGTCTGGTAGCTCCGACACCAAGTTCGCAGAGTCATTTGCAATATGAGCCGATTCAGGTTCCACGATGCCGCCGCCTTCGTCATTTTCCGTTCGTTGAGCCGAGCTCTGGCTCGAGCTAATAGATTTCATCATATCGCGAAGTTCCGCTATAATTGCAGTTTTGATGTCTCCTACGATTGAATCCAAAAGGGAGGGAGCAGACTCCTTTGGCACATCACCAGCCTCATCCAAAATAAAACTGTTGCTAGGTTGAGCGCAGCTGTAGTCGAAGTCGTGAAGGCTTACCAGGGACCCATTGGTAGGTATAGTCGCATCAGGGGCCAACAAATCCCCAAGTTGGTTTTCCTCGCGATCTAGAACGTCGTCTAGTAGATATCGTGTTACGGTCTCAGCCTTTTCACTTGGCGTCCATCCTGCCCACCACTTCACCAGCTTCAAAGACCAACGGCTTTGTTCAGGAGCGAACATAAATCTGTACTGAGCTCCGCCTCGCCTAAAGCAATGTGATGTAAACCAGATGTCATCCCCAAGGACATTCTTGCTGATTCCAGCTGCATTGGCGACAATGTTGATAATCTGAGTGAAGTTACTGTCCGACATTGGAGTGCCCCATTTAGCGCCAACATTCCCAAATGTCCCATTAGGACTAGCGCTAGCGAGAGAGTTCTTCGGACGTTTAGCACCGCCGCGGGGAACCTTTGTCAGTGCTGGGAACGCGTAGTCACCACTGTCCCTCTTGTGGTTTAACCGCGTACATGCATATTTAAACCATCTCTCCAGGTACGCCAAAGCCTCGGTGGCTTGCTCATCCTTAGGGAGGTGATGCAAAGAGTATGTGCGACTTGCCAGTGGATTATGGTCCGTTTTTCGGTCGCGTATTGTGAAACATCCAAATTCGATCTCCTTGTCGTTCTTGCGCGACTTGCGCCAAAGTCCGAGCTGTATATCTCCTTTCTTCATGAGCAGCACCTCATTTATTCGACACATCCCGTAAAAGGCAAGCGAGCACACGGCAGAAAACCACAAGCGCATCGTCTCATTGATGTCCGAATCAGTTTCAAGGAAAGTGATCACTCGCGTTAGCATTGCGAGCGACATAGGTGACGCGCGCTTAGGAGTTCGTTCACGCTTTTTTGCTTTACTTAGGCCTGCGAGGATTTGCGTAATTGCTGCGGATCGGGCGGGGTTTCCGCGTGGCACAATCGAGCCATCTGCTTGAGTTTCAATAACCCAGCGATCGTGCGGGTGTCCACCTGAAAGCATTTCCGGCTTCGCGTAATGCCAGCTAATCGCGGCCCGTAGCTTCTCAGCAGGCCACTGACTCTTGCTCGCCGTCGCGAGCTGATTTATGTACGCTGCTAGTACACCTGGGAGCTGAACAAATCGCTGTTTCATCGGGTCTGGGTATCCTTCAGTTATGCAAAAAGCGGTGAATCGACGAAGGCTGCCGGTATAGTCGACCCGCGTGCGAGACTCGAGTCGTTGATCAGCAAATTTGGCTGCAGCGATGGCCGCACCGTACAGGCGACTAGTTTCGGGCAGGTCCATTGCAGTCGCTTGCACTCCGCAAAGGGAAAATATGAAATGAAACTTGCTATTTGTATGCGTGGCCCGTGCCTGACAAAGTATCTTCCTCAATTGTGCAGTCGTCCTCAACTGTGTGGTCGCCCGCAAAAGTGCAGTCGCGCGGAAACATGAAGTCTTTCGCAAAATACGAAACAGGCATTCGTGAAAACGGTGAATACATTTATGAATTATTTGGGTCGATGACTTATGGGGCTCTTCCCATGGCTACATCTATGGCTACAATGTTTTGACCAATCAGAGTGCGTCGCACAGCCAATTTGGTCCCCTCGCACCAGTGGGAGAAGTTGATAGCGGGGACAGGGAAAGCACTGGAAATCAGAAAGCCGTGACGCCAAGTTCTCCTTTGATCGAGAATACGCGTACTGAAGAGACCGCTCGAGTAGAAGTCGTGCAAGACGTTGTGGAGACCGCTGATCGTCTGGCTTCAGCTGACGATATTGTCCGTGAAGATCGTATGGAGACTGTTGACGACGTGGTACTTGCGGAGGACGACACGGAGCTGCTCACGGACGCCGTCCGGGCGCTAAAATCGATGAATAAATTGTTCAGATCGTCAAGCGATTCCGAAGTAGAGCTGTCGCAGGCAGCAGTCACGAGGGTCATCCATTTGACACCACGTTAGATGGAGCGGCACCACGACGCCGCAGCAGACCTGTAACTGCTATCAGAGGCATCCGGCTTTGAAAGTGACACACGAGTCGACCAGCGACCTGTTCCTACACCAGACCGAGTGCTACGTCCGCATCATGAGCTGAAGAGGGACGTCAATTTTATACCTGACACGGAGAGCACGCACACGTATGAAAGGTTCAGCGCATGATCGAGTGATGACGACGTCAAGAAGAACAACGACGACAAAGGCAAGCTTCGCTGAGGCCGTAAATGATGACCATGACGATGGCATATCAGATGAAGATACTGTTGAGATGGATGAAGCTTATGTTCAGTCACTTCAGATCGGCAACGTCTCACTTAATATACAAGTTGTACAGCAGCAAAAGGCGGCACTACGTGCTACAGAGTGGGGCTCGTTGTTATCTGAGTTCGTGACCGGTGTGCGAAAATATCCAGGATTGGTTATCGAGGAAGCAAGACCGGTCGGCGGCCCTACGTGGTGTATGCCACCCCCCTCTTCTTTCGCTGTTCTATTTCATAACAAACATTACTGTGGGTGCGGATAAACACTGAGACCAATAGGTATGATTTGCAACAAGTCCCTGGACGTACGCTACGAATACGAGGAAGACGGTCTGATCGATGGCGCAAAACGCTAAAGAAGATCCGTCGCAGATTGAAGGCTAAGCCCGGGTATCAAACTTGCGCGCTTCTTCACGTGATCGGCTTGCTAATTGCATGGATGTTGTGTCCCCAGCGGCGACGGTGTGCTGCACACTGGACAATGGCAGAAGATGTTGATATACCTGTTGCAAGTTTGGGTCGCTTTATGAGCCGGAACCGGTGCTAAGACATCCTGAGGTATCTACCCTTCGTTGATAGCGAAAGTGACCATTCCCGGGACAAGTTGTGGAGCCTCCACCCTGTTCTCGAGAGGCCTCAGCAGTGCTTCCGCGCTGGTTGGACTCTTCCTTCAGTTTTCTCTTTTGACGAAGGCGTGCTACCGACAACCTCCAGGCGACCCACGACGCGGATGTTCATGCCCGACAAACCACATCGGTATGGATAAAGAAATGTTTATGACCTCCGTCTCGAGGCCTGCATACTTCTACAGGTACTGAATTTGTATGTCGTAACTTATGAAGTTTGAGTAATAATTTAAAGTGAATGTCGTATCTTATTAGATTTGAAATGTACGCTGGTAAACGAAGCGATCCTGATGCTGCTTACGACGCATGCGACGACAAGGACTGGTGCTACTGCGGTTGTACGCATCTTGAAGGTAGGGTTTGACTCTAATACAAGGCATTCATGGCACGTAGTTGTCATTAACCGATTCTACTCTTCAATCCTGCTGACTATCGAACTACTTGGCATGCATGTGCTCGTCATCGGTATCATGACCAATCGGCTTGGGTACGACAAACGCGTCACGGGAAGCGTCAGCACCGGCCACGTACTATACAGCGCGGTAGCTTTACCTTATCTCTCTCGGTTGCTATTCTGAGCATGGTGGCTTTCCACTGGTGGGACCGCAAGCCAATTCACTACTTGTGCGTCGTTTGCCTGAGTCGAGAATTGATCGCAACGTTAACCAAATTGGTCCGATTACGGTACCCTGTCCTGCCGCCGTGAGTGCCTACCAGCGTTATATGGGCCCTGGCTAACGTACACGATCAACTCCGCCTGCAATGAAGCACGGAGACTGGTACAGTGTTCTCCTAAGATCAACGCCTCCAGCTCAAAGCCGTAGACGTTACTGGCGTCGTGGTGACCGCTCCCCCAACAAAACAGAAGCGCAAGCACACTCTGTTGAGTTTGACTCACGCACCGGCACAGAAGGATGACTGGGTTACTGTGATCGGCACGCAAAAGTGTCGTCAGCTATCGTGTAAGGTTTGCGCGCTTTTGCGCACCGGCACAGCAAAACGGCGCTCGCTACCACCTATTTTTGCGAGCGCTACTCTATCGACGACACCAAATGCTGGCTCTGCAATAAAATCCGACGGCACTACAATGGCATCGCAAAGACCTGCTTTAAAATCTGGCATGATGACTTCGATAACGGATAAGAAATTCCTGAGAGCTTGGAAAAACGTGTGGTGCTGAGGCTGACCGGACAGCGAGCTGGTGAGCGCAAAAAACACGTCAGCAGCTTCGCCTTTGGGGTGGCGGTGAAGATGGCGACGACAAGAGAGAAAATCAAAGCGAGAGCGAGTAAGCCTTGCGGCAATACATGATGTACATGATGAGTGCTCAATTTTGTCAGAATGCAAGGCATATTTCTACGCTACCGCTGCAGATGGCACTTTGAGGCTGCCGGAGTCGAAAGTGTGGCTGCCGCTACAGAGGAAATGACGAAACTAGAGGTGCTGGCGGCGTGTCTATCACCACGGAAGGATGACAAGGCTGCAACAGGCAACGTGGCTGACGCTGCTGAAAAATGGCGAATCTGTCGCTACTGTTGGCACGCCTGCAGAGGATAGTGCGAGACTGCCGGTGCTGGTGTGTAGAGATCCGCTACCGAGAGGATGCCGGAGCTGGTGGCATACCACCGCTCCACGAAAACGTGCCGGATTGGCGGAACCACCTCCATAAAACAAGATGTATACAAGATGATGGGGCAGGTACATATAGGGGTTTTGCAAGTACAAAGTATGTGGCTATAGTCAACGTTGATGCTGATAGTTATTGATTAATTAATGCGTGCGTATTTGTGCGTGCTACCTATTCCCAATGAAGGGCATGACTTGCATGGCTTGGACGCCCTACCGTTTGGGGGAACTCCGTCGCTGCTAGCTACATCCAAGCCTCGTTTTCTACTGCGATTCACCATTGCCGTCACCGTCTACATAGTTGCGGCATTGCGGTGCACATTGAAGATGTACACAGTCTCGCATTTTGAAGTGGAAGCGACACGGACAATACTGCGCGTCCAATTCGACAGGCCAGGCTGAGCTCGGCTGGTCTTCAATTTCTATTCTGGCGTAGTTCGCCGAGAACTGGGCAGCAGCTTCTTCAGACCACCCTCGTGACGGGATGTAGAATCGAAGCGGTGGTGTAGCAAGTACACGGACAATGCTACCGTTAGAATCGACCACTTGGAACTAGATACTATTCTTGCTGAGCGCGTACTCGGTAAGATAATCACCGCGTCGAAGTGCCGTCGTGCGCGATAGTAGACGCTTGTCGGATGTATGTCTTGCCTCAATCTTTGTCGGTGCCATGGACCGATGACTGCAGCAGTACGGCATCTGCTGAAGCAGCGCAGCAAGTTCAGCTTTCGAATTTGCGTGTAGTCACGCTTAAAAGCTTGGTTAAAGGTATCGCACGGGTTGCTGGTGGATGAGAAGCCGGGCGGTGTACTATATACTTGCCAGTTACTGAAATTACCCAGTAACCATTGTTTCCCCATGTACGATTCAAAGCCTGTCCAGCTCCTTGTGTGCTTTCCAATCCGGCAGGACTTTTGCTTTTTGAGCAAAAGAAAAATATCCTTGGTTTTTGCACAATGGAGATCATAGATACCACGATACACCACGCCCATTACGTCACCGTGCGGCCGTTATGTGCGCTCCATCGGAGCAAGTCAGGCCTTTGCTACGACGTGATAAAGACACATAAGGAACGTGTACTCACCAAAAGCACAAAAATGTTTTTGATGCCGTTGCACTGAGCCTTGTCGGCTTCGCCCATTATGTAATAGAAGTTTAGTCGTTTGCCAACCACTTTGGCATAAATGGTGTCAAGGGCTGCTAGGGCATCCGTGTAGCGTTGTTTTTTCAATTGTGAAGAAATAAAGAGTGCCACCAAGTGAAACTTTCTCGCTCCATTCGAGATCCCGCATACGATGACCGGATAGCTAGCTTGCGCTAGCTTAAATGTCGCGTCAACGTGGAGAACGAACGATGTAGGGTCTCGGTCTGCAGAGCGCAGATGTGACTTTGTAGTAACTCCCACAACAAAAGGGCAAGCGAGCCATCACCGACAATGGGCTTGCCGGACCCATCTGCTCTAGACGTTAACGTGAATGCATCGTGCTCAGCCTCTCGTCCGCTATA